TATATATACATATACATTTTTTACGGGGGGGTAAAGAAGTAAGGCCTGCTGAGCAAGTCCTACACTGCACAACAGGCAACATCACAGACATAACCAAATGTTGGCCCAAGGTATAATGTATACAGATACAGTGGGGGTGGGGGAGGTGGGTATTCCAAACTCGGATGTCCTATCACCCCAGTCGAACAAACATACCTGGGGTTCTGGTTCAGGCTGGTTTCGAGAATTACAGATTGTTACGACCCCGTCCGCCTAGGCCAACTCTGGCCGTGTGGGATACGTCATAATAAGCAAAAAGATGGTGAAAATGGTGAAACGGTACACGTTTAACGCCCTTATCAACACCATTAGATTATTTGAGAGGCGGAACCTTCGAGCTTGACGTCCATTTCTGAAAGAACTGAGCCAAACACTATAAATTTCTTTCCCAAGGACACAACGTCGGACTGAGCTGAGGCTCGAACCCCGAACCCGCAATCTCACGATTACGAGTCCCCTGAGCCTAACCACCAGGCTATCGACGCCACTCAAAAAGGTGGGAGTACAGGACAAACTGTCCAATCGAAATCCTTATTTCGAGAGTTAGGCTTTGAAAGAAAAAGAAGCACCCTGACACTAAAATGGCGATTGGTACGGGTACCACGAAAAAGCAAAACTTTTCATTGTATGAGTTTTACGCACTTGAAACACAATCAGGTCATTTAAGTGTTGAAGATTATTTAGGTTTCACCGGAGTGTAACATACAAACAAAAGAAGGAGAAAAGATGAAGACGACAGATGTCTGGTAGGAAAAGAGCGAACAGTACTAGAACCACCTGCATGATAAAAGCAAAATTGATAGACAGAAAAAATACAAGGGAAAGTAAAGAAGTGAGGCCTACCAGCGGCACCCCCAGCAGTCAGCGAGTTGTAAAAGGCAAAAAGACAATACACTGCAAAACAGGCAACGACTGGTCCGAAAAATAAAGAAATAAACCGTACCCCGCTCTTGTTTCAGGAGGCAGTAAAAAGACACTATACATTCACGCTATTAAATCACCAAGGTGAAGAGAGTCCTTTGTTTTTGTTTTAGTAAGAGCTTTTCGGCACTTGCAACATCACCCAAGGCCAGATCTGCGACAGACATCGGCGATCATGGTTCTCTATCCATTCCTTTGCTCCGATGCTCTTAAAAAACCTACTTGCAACATAATAAGGTCATATAAGTGCCGAAGATTAGTGGATTTTACAAGAAAGTAGCAAACACGAAAAATAAAGAGTAAAGATAAGGACGACATATATACGTTTGATAGGAAAGAAGGAGCAGAACACACTAGAGAAATCGCCAACCGCCCACCACCTTATAAATTATCGAAAGAAAACATTGTACAATGTGCCACAAACCTTATATCTACTGTAACGATGGTCCCACAGACAGACACACAGACAGGCAGACAGGCAGACAGACAGACACACACACACACCACAAGCAGTACGCTCTCACCTTGAGATGACAGAGCCTGAGACAGCC